TTAGCTTTTTCGAGACTGCCAAATTGCCACTCATTTGCTTTCTAGCTTTCAAAACTGTCACTATTGGGCTTCCCTGGTGGCACAGTGGTTGAGAGTCCGCCTGCCGATACAGGAGACGCTGGTTCGTGCCCCGGTCTGGGAAGATCCCACATGCCGCGGAGCGGCTAGGCCCGTGAGCCATGGCCGCTGAGCCTGCGCGTCCGGAGCCTGTGCTCCGCGACAGGAGAGGCTACAACAGTGAGAGGCCCGCGTACCGCAAAAAACAAAACAAAACAAACAAACAAAACTGTCAGTATCTCTTTTTCCCTCCTTGTAGGCAGAGTGAAAAAGAGCTAAATCCATATTCTCTATATTGGGAGGTCAAATGATAACACCTAAAATGAACATTCAAGAGATGGCATTATCATGTTATTCAGACATATGGAAGTAAATATCACAAGGATCATCTAAAATAAAGTGGTTGGCTCCCAGGAACAGGAAATTATGGGGTACTGAGATAGCTGCTTTAATCAACAAGACCTGTAGAACTATTTGACTTTTCAAACTATATCATGCATAATTGAGATGAAAATTAAAACTTTAAGAGCAGGGACTTCCCGGGTGGCACAGTGGTTAAGAATCCGCCTGTCAATGCTGGGGACACAGGTTCAATCCCTGGTCCAGGAAGATCCCACATGCCGTGGAGCAACTAAGCCTGTGCGCCACAACTACTGAAGCCCATGCTCCTAGAGCCCATGCTCCACAACAAAAGAAGCCACCACAATGAGAAGCCTGCGCACCGCAATGAAGAGTAGCCCCCGCTCGCCGCAACTAGAGAAAGCCCACACGCAACAACGAAGACCCAATGCAGCCTAAAATAAAATAAATTAACTTAAAAAAAAGACTTTAAGGGCAGGCAAAACTATATTGTACAGAGCAGGGAATTATATACATTATTTTGTGATAACTTTTAATGGGGTATAATCTATAAAAATACTGAATCACTGCGCTGTACACCTGAAACTAATATATTGTAAATCAACTATACTTCAATAAAAATATAATTAAAAAAATAAAAGTAGACAAAAGCAATACATAGTTTATGGATGCATAGCTTCATTTGCACATATGAAAATATAAAAATGGACTGGAAGGAAACCTACTAAATTCAGACAGTTGTTTTTCTGTGGAGGAAGGGGAAAGTGGGAGGGAAAATGGGACAGGAGTGTTGGTCAAAGGGGACTTTATAGCTAAATCTGTCACACTATATTTCTTTTTTAAAAGTAGGCTGGAAGCAAATATGATAAAATGGTTTTTTTTAAGTTATTTCTGAGTAGTGGGAATGTGGGTGTTTATTATTAGGTTGTTCTTTGTGCTTCTCTGTCTTTTCAATTTCTTAGATTAAAAAATGACTCACACAAGCAGAGGAAAGGTTGGGGCAGTGGACATACTACTTAAAAGAATGCACCACCTAGAGGGGTGGGATAGGGAGGGTGGGACGGAGGGAGACGCAAGAGGGAAGAGATATGGGAACATATGTATATGTATAACTGATTCACTTTGTTATAAAGCAGAAACTAACACACCATTGTAAAGCAATTATACTCCAATAAAGATGTAAAAAAAAAAAAGGCTATGCTTCATTTTCCTTCACTAAAGATACTGCTCAAAAGCAGTGTTTATGCAGACCTCTCAGACAAAAGAGAACATGTTAAAAAAAAATAAAATAAAAAGAATCTGGTACCAAAAGGGGCAGGCCTCACAAGCTGGGAAGATGGATGACTGAGTTTGAGTGTAAGGGGGGCCCAATGGAGCAGCTGAGGGCAGAGCCTGCTGGAGGGCTGAAAGCACGGAGACCTCAGGGCAGCAGCACAGCCACAGGGTGTCCCCCAAACCAAGCTCCTCTTGGACCCTGAGGAGTTTCTTCCAGGGGTCTAATTCAGGAGTTTTGGTAGGAAAGTGGCCACTATTGCTCAGTCCCAAGATCTGGCCCTCCTATAAAAATACTGCAATGCACAACTGGTTTGTGGGAGTGTCCACAGTCACGGATTTCCAACAGCTGCCTGTCTGCATTCACAAAAGGTGGGCTCACAGTGCCCTCTAGTGGTCACAGAATCTATCAGCCTCCACAGTCAAACTGAAGGGTAACATTTCTCAGCTTTTCAAAGCCCAGAATAAACTCCCCCAATACCCCATTCCCCATCCTTTATATAAGTAATACTACTAAAGAAAGAAGAGATGGAGGGAATGTACATGGAGATAAAAAGAAGAAAGAAAATGAACATTTCCCCTTGTTTCAGAAAAGATCATTAGACAACATTGATCATTTTTGTTTTGCATACTGCTGTTGATAAAGGTTTAAAAATAGCTCTACTACTGAAGACATACAGATGGCCAACAGGCAAAAGAAAAGATGCTCAACATTGCTAATTATTAGAGAAATGAAAATAAAAACTACTATAAAGTATCACCTCACCCCAGTCAGAATGGCCATCATCAAAAAGTCCACAAATAGGGAATTCCTTGGCGGTCCAGTGGTTAGGACTCCACGCTTTCACTGCCAGAGCCTGGGTTGGATCCCTGGTTGGGGAACTAAGATCATGCAAGCTGCATGGCACTGCCCCTCCCCAAATGTTTATAAACAATGAATGCTGGAGAGGGTGTGGAGAAAAGGGAACCTTCCTACACTGTTGGGGGGGAATGTAAATTGGTGCAGCCACTATGGAGAACAGTATGGAGGTTCCTTAAAAAACAAAAAATAGAATTACCATATGATCCAGCAATCCCACTCCTGGGCATATATCTGTAAGAGATGAAAATTCTAATTCAAAAACATACATGCACCCCAATGTTCAGAGCAGCACTATTTACAGTAGCCAGACGTGGAAGCAATCCAAATGTCCATCAACAGATGAATGGATAAAGAGGACGTGGTACATATATATACACACACACTATGGACTATTACTCAGCCATCAAAAAAGAATGAAATAATGCCATTTGCAGCTACATGGAAGGACCTAGAGATTATCATACTAAGTGAAGGAAGACAGAGAAGGACAAATATCAAAAGATATCACTTATATGTGGAATCTAAAAAAATGATATAAATGAACTTATTTACAAAACAGAAATAGACTCACAGACAAACAAACTTATGATTACCAAAGGGGAAAGGCGGGGGAGGGATATATTAGGAGTTTGGGATTAACAGATACACACAACCATATACAGAATAAACAACAAGGACCTACTGTATAGCACAGGGAACTATATTCAGTATCTTGTAATAACCTATAACGGACAAGAATCTGAAAAAGAAATATATATATACAACTGAATCACTCTGCTGTACACCTGAAACTAACACAACATTGTAAATCAACTATACTTCGATTTTAAAAGAAAAAAATTAGCTGTACTACTGTTGAGAGGAGCAGTGATGTCAAGAACGAACAAGATGAGCAAGCACAGGGTGGCCAGAGGGAACACAGCAGGGGAAACCTGGACAGGAGGAAAAACCAAAGGTCAGAACTGAGAGTAGAAAGGGTCTGGATTGCAGTCAGGAAGGCCCTGGACCCAGAGTCTGTCACTTACTAGCTATGAGTTTGTGGGCAAGTCATTTTGCTTCACTGAGTTTGTTGCTACAGAAAACTAGTTCCTCTCATCCTTCTAAATTAAACAAGAGGCAGTAGACTGCAGTGGCCAAGAGCCAGGTCACTCTGGAGCCCGATGGCTCTGATGGAATCCCAGCATTATCACTTACTCTGTAGCCTCAGGCAAACTATTTTTTTTTGTAGGTTTTTAAAAAAAAATTATTTATTTTTATTTTATTTATCTTTGGCTGCATTGGGTCTTCGTTGCTGCACGCGGGCTTTCTCTAGTTGCGGCGAGTAGGGGCTACTCTGCACTGCGGTGCGCAGCCTTCTCATTGCAGTGGCTTCTCTTGCTGCGGAGCAGAGGCTCTAGGCGCACGGGCTTCAGTAGCTGTGGCACATGGGCTCAGTAGTTGTGGCTCACGGGCTCTAGAGCACAGGCTCAGTAGTTGTGGTGCACAGGCTTAGGTGCTCCACGGCATGTGGGATCTTCCCGGACCAGGGCTCGAACCTGTGTCCCCTGCATTGGCAGGCGGATTCTTAACCGCTGTGCCACCGGGGAAGTCCCTTGGGCAAACTATTGAACCATTCTGTGCCTCAGTATCTTGGGGGTGTTAACAGTGCCTCTTAGGTCTGTTGTGCTACGGTATATACTTAGGTATATGTATACACCTTATGCACTTCATACACTTAGGTATACGAAGGACTTAGAAGAGAGCTAGCAAGCATTGATTAAGAATTAGCCGTTATTAGCAGTATTACCATTACACACATGTAAAGTACCTAGAAGATGATCCCTTTCCTCTTCCCCTGGAATTTGGCTCTGGGCAAATTGCTTGTGTCCCCATCACTTGAGCTACACCCCCAAACAAGCATGGTTAATACTCCACAATACCCTCTGAGTTGTCTGTGGGTACCATCCCCTTTCGTACACAGATCTCCTTTCCACAGGATCCTGAGCCTAGTTTCCAGTTTTCTACTGACATCTTTTTGGAGGAAGTGAGGCTAGCAGCCTTCTCTCAGGGAAGCCGGATTCCTTTGACTGCCCAAAGGAGGAATCTGTGGATCCAAACGCACCTGGTCCCACAGACATCCCTTGTTGAGGCAAGAGGTCCCCAGAGGGGGGCGCAGGATTGCTATGAGGAGCCATGCCCACCGACACTCCCCAGCAGGGGGACACTTGCTTCCATTCATCACTCCAGGGACAAGCTGCATGTTCTTTGCTCATTCGTCTTATGATCAATGCCCAGTGAGGCAGCTGTGGCCAGAGCTTTTGTCCTTATATAGAACCAACTGGCCAGGAAGGACAGCCAGCACATTAAGCTGACATCTGTCAGCTGTGACCTCATTAGCACCAAGCTCTTGGCCTTCCAGAATAGCTTTCAGAGGAAGTGGAAGACAAATTAGATCAGCACCAGGTAAACAGGTCAAGACGGGGCCTATGGAAAGAAGCACATCAAGAGTTTATACAAAAACCTTTTATTTACTGTTTATATTTTGTCTCCCTATCCCTACCCCCTGATCTGGAACCCAGCCAGCTGCTAAGGCTTCCTGCTGTCTGGTTCTTGAAACTGGGGCCTCGGATGGGGGTTATGGGAGGTGGGAAATTCTTCACCCACTGGCTGTGGAAGTTGAAGGAAGCTTTTCTGCCTGGCTGAAGTGTCAGCAGCTTCCCAGGGGAGCCCCTCAAGTCAGAGGATCCATCCCCCACTGGACAGATACAGGAAAAGATAACATGCATCTCTTGGAGGCCCAGAGGCTCCCCGTCACTCACTGCTTCTCTGCCACACCAGGCTCCATAGCTGAATCAATCTCTCACCTGGAGATGGAGCCCAGCAGCAAAGGGGTGGGGTTTGGGGGCAGGACAGACAATGCTGCGATGCTGGGCCCTAATCAACAAACAGGAAACGGGAAGACGTTGGCCTGGTTGAACTGAAATGGGAAAGGGGAGGAAGGGTGCAGGAAAACCCAGGGTGGCTTAGTGGCCTGGAGTGGAGCCAGCTGGACACTTTTATAAAGAAAGGTTACAGGCCCTTTGGGAGTAAGCACTCCCAGCCCCGCAACCACCCTGAAGAGAGGGAAAGGAGCTCTGTCCTCCCATGGACAAAGGGCTAATGACACAAGCAACACTTTTGGTCTGAGAGTGCCAGGGAAGGGCACCCACTGGCACCGAAAAGGACAGCCTGCCTTGCTGGTCACCACAGCCCACTCTGAGTGCCGTCACCCCTGCCTGCACATTTACTGCCCACCACGAGCTCTGCATACCCCATGACCCCCACTGGAGACTGACGCTGCCAGCCAGGTGGGGCAGAAACAAGGACCCTGAGCTCCAGGGCCCCGCCCCGGGTAAGGCCTGTCCGTGGAGATGTCAGGGCTCTTTCCCACAGTCCTGCTGCCATGAGCCAGACATACTGAACTCTCCTGGGAGGGCACTGGGCCCTCAGGTTCTCGGGAAGAGGAGACCCTGGAGAAGCACTCTCAGGCAGGAAGAAGAGCCTCCGAACGGTATTTGTTCCTCCTTCTTGTCCCAGGTCCTGCTCTCCAGGCTCAGAAGTCCGAGTCCGCGTCCATGAGTTCTGCCTCCATCAGGTTGGTGCGGGAGTGAATGGGCCCCAGCCCCTGCCGTCGGCCCTGCGCCCAGGCCATGGGGGCTGCGGCACTGGGCTCTGGGCAGAAGGGGTTGGAGACCAGGGTCCAGGCTCCCTGTCGGTAGGATTCCCCAGCTCCCCAGGCACCCGCGGCCACCAGGCACTTCTGCCGGGGCAGCTGGGGCAGTCGAGGGACAGCACTGGAGGCGGGGGCAGGGCCCGGGGCGGGGCGGTGGAGCTCAGGGGGCGACGCCAGTGGGCACACCTCCTTCTTCCTCTTCCTCCGCTTCTTCCTCCGGCCCAGGCGCTTCTCCAGCTCTGGGGAGATCTCTGCCTCAACCAGCCACAGGTTGGCTTTTTCCTCCGGGGGGACTGACAGTGGGAGAGAGAACGTGAGCCTGGGACCCTAACTCTGTCCACATCATGCCTTTTCTCCTCGGGGCCCTACTCTTTTAGCTCAGGAACCCACACTTCAGATCCTCCAAGGCTTTTCCCTCCCCTCCCCTGCTGGCAGCCCCTGGTACTCCAGTCCCAGGAACCTCCAGCCTCTCCGTCCCCCACCTTCCTACAGAAGCCGGAACCCCATACCGGGAGTTGCCACAGGGGTGACAGACACATCCTGGGGCAGTATGGCTCCTCTCCGGGCCACCATCTTGGTGACATGCTGGGCCCAGGCAGAGGACACATCGGCCGAAGGCTCATTGAGGTCAAAGGCCAAACCCGCTGTGGGGACGGAAGGAAAGGATAAGGTACCATGACGGCCCAGGCCCCCACAATGACCGCTCCTCCCTTATTTAGCATCATTCACCATCCCCCAACCCATGGCTCCCACTCGACTTAGCACAGAAAGCCCACCCTAGTGAACACAGCAATCTCTACCCATTCCCAGTCTGAAGAGAGGGGCCTCACGAGAGGCCAGAAATCCAGTCCCTGGAACCTGACTTCCCGTAGCCCAAGGAGAACAGCTGGAGAAGACGGTTGAAGGCGAGGGAGATGAGTCCTTTGGAACCAGAGCACCGGCAAGCAAGATCCAGGGGCAGGAACAGAGAGGGGAGAGCGGCCTGGGATGGGGGCAGGGTGGGGACTGGAGGACCAGTGTGTGAGAGAGAGGAGGGAGCCATTCCTCACAGCCTTCCAAACAGTCCATGAGGCCACACCAGCCTAGAAGGCAACTGGGAATGGGGCGGAAGCTCACCCACAGGCCCGTCGTGGGAGACAGTGTGCATGCTGAAGGAGAGCTCCTGGCCTGGGTTCTGCAGCAGCTCGCGCCGCTTGGAGAAGGCCTTGGCGATCATCTTGCTCTTCTTGATCCGTTTGGGCTCATCGTCACTCTGCCCCGTCAACCTGAGGGCGGAAAGGGTGGAGGAAGCGGTATGGAGGGGCAGCTGCTTCCCCTCAAATCTTGCAAAAGACCAGCGGATCCGTTCCAGCCGGGAAAGGAGCCTCCAGACGGCCTCAAGGACCCTGAGGGGTAGAGGCCTTCTGTGCCAAAAAGGGGGCCTAGAATGCAGGGCTCCTGCGCTCCGTTCTCAAATCACTCCACTCTTAGAAGACACCGGCAGCTGGCTCAGCCCTTGGCCCATCCTCCCAAGGACAGGAGGTGTCACCAGGGGGCAGTGGTGAGCCGCAGAAAAGGCCGCTTTCGGCTGCTCAGGGCAGGCCCTTAGAAATCACACCTGCTCAAGGCTGTGCTGGGACACGTGAGACCAGACAAAGCCTAACAAACGCCGAGGCTGAGAGAACAAGGCAGCAGGGTCAGGACAGGCTGCTGCTGACCCCACCTGCACCAGGTGCGCCTCCAGATGAGCAGCGTGGCCTTGGTCCAGACCCAGGTGCTCATGGCAATGCCGGTTCCAAACATGGCAAATAGGTTGATCTTCTCCACCAGGAGGCTAGGGCGATTCTTGATCTCACAGTCGGGGATGGGTTTCTTGGTGGGCAGCCCGATGGTCACATTGGCCTGGCACCTGTGGTGAGGGGTGGTCCATAGTTGAGGCCTTCTAAGTCTCCTGGGTGGGTGCCCAGGCAATCGATCCAAACACTTTAGAAAGAGGGAAGCCCACAGCCCTGAGTTGCAATCCTGGGTGATCATTAGAGTCACCTGGGAGCTTTTAGTGACTCCTGATGTCTGGGCCACACCCCAGACAATTAAATCAAATCTCTGGGGGAGGGACGTAGGCATCGGTGTGGTGTAAAGCTTCCCACGCTGGAAGCTGGAGCCTTTAAGGAAGAGTCTGAAGCAGTCAGATCTTAATAAGCATTTTAACTGCTATTCTTGGTATCGGTAGGTACTGCAGTTCTTCAAGCAGCTGAGATGTGTTACCTTCTCAGATTCATCCTCATCGTAACACAAAAAAGCACAGGCAAAACCAGAAAACATTAATGGGTTGTTAACCTATGGTAGAGAGGTAACTACTTCTGTGCAGGAATTTGCAATAAGCTCTGTAAAGAGTCTATGAGAGGGCCTTCCCTGGTGGCGCAGTGTTGAGAGTCCCGCCTGCCGATGCAGGGGACACGGGTTCGTGCCCCGGGCTGGGAAGATCCCACATGCCGCGGAGCGGCTGGGCCCGTGAGCCATGGCCGCTGAGCCTGCGCGTCCGGAGCCTGTGCTCCGCAGCGGGAAAGGCCACAACGG